TCAATCAAAATATACCTATCTAGAAACAAATTTATGATATTTTGAATAGCAGCCGGCCTTTTGTTTACCTAAAAAATAATTCTAAACATCCCGCCCTCGCCAATACAGAAAATACTGGACACATTTTGGCTGAGATGGCAGAAAGAATATTTAACTGAACTCAGAGAACATTATGATTACAAGAATATTAGTAATCAACCAAGTGCAGCAAAAGAAGGAGATATAGTTACTATTTACAAGGACAAATTACCACGACAATCCTGGAAAATGGGAAGAATGAAACTACTGAAACTACTGAAAGGAAGAGACGGAATTGACCGTGCTGCAATCGTGAAAACTACTACTAAGGAAGGAAAACCATCACAACTGAGAAGACCATTAACAAGGTTGTATCCGATAGAAGTTCAAGCCAAGAACATTGAAGAAGATGTTCAGCATATCGAGCAATTACCAGTAAAGTTTGTGGATGGAAGCAAAAGTGACATTGTCAAAAGTTGTTCAAGGCCAAAATTTTGGTRGGAAACCTCGGGCGCAAGAAATTTAATTTGACTGTGTTTTTTGTTCAAATTCTTTATTATTATGCCTTGTACRGACGCTTTAATATTCTTTTAACTTACCACAAACATGGTACATGTACAAACACATATTGAAATATAACCCATGATAAATATCGAAMRAAATAAGTAAAATTGAGARCATAATTTCTACGAAGAATCAAAATTCGCTAACTTTAGTTGCTTCAAAAGTGAATAAATACTGCWGCGCCATCGTGCGCCATGCAACCAAGACGTTAAGAATTTATTTCTCGTTTTATATTGTAAATATCATTATAAAACTTATTAATAATGCATAAGCTATTGCTCCAATAAGGGCTGACCATTTAATCAGGTGATTGACCTTGTAAATCTGATACAACCACTAGTGTTGTATCAGATTTACAACACTGTCGTCACCATTGAGACAACCCAACACTAGCAAAGGTCTCAGTTTTAGTGTCGCATCATAGACCTTCACTAGGTTTTGAAGCAATCAAAGACGGATAACAGAACTCGCTTATGCAACAGATGGCTTGCTTTCCATGTGGGATGGATAATTATTCAAAATGTTCTGTGTTGCAGTAAATTGCGCATGCTTAATAGGGACTAAACTCAGCAGTTACCTTATTTGTCATTTTTCGTCATTTATCTCACTGTAATTCATGTTAATTTGTGTTGGAGTTTTATAAGTCGTTTACAACATTCGCGTCCGTGTTGTATGGGAATTACAATCTCTCGCCTGCGGCTCGAGATTGTAATTCCCATACAACACGGCCGCTCATGTTGTAAACTATACNAAACCATGGCCGCTTCAATCTTCATTTAGGAATACTGCAGCTTGAATACCAATGTTTTCTTTAATCCAGAAGAGACAGAAATTTAGGCTATCCGGCAAATCAGACTCAGACGGTCACGTTGTGGCATCACTGAGCTAGAATACCGAAGTATCGGTTTATATCTCGCCAAGGAAAATGCACTGTTTGGCTCGATACACCAACCTTTATGGCCTAATCCAATGTCGTAATATATGCTCTTACACAAATGAATACTTTGGAATAACAAAAGAGCTCGAATCTCAAAGAATTAGCTCCATTTCGGCGATTATAGTTACCCACACGGCTTACTATAATCAACGAAACGAAACGAAACGAAACGAAACCTCTCCCCTCCCCCCCTCAGTTATCCCTTTTGTTTGAAGAATCGGAGGCAAAACACACACACAAGAAAGGAAGAAAGAAAAGAAAGGAAAAGAAAAAAACTCAACATAGAATAGCTTACGAGCCTTTCACTACGTTTTATTATAGTCAATTTCTTAACAAACTGCCTTTGAAATATCCTACKCTGAATGGTTAGGGTATGACATCATGCTTAGGAACATACTTAGTATGTTCCTCATTAATTGTAAATATTATCAAATATGTAATTTATATGCAACATACATAATAAATTATTAAAAAAATTAACTGAAATGAAAAAAAAGTCATGCTTATCAGTCTTTCCTCTCTATCAATAGCCTATATATTTCATTACAGAACCCGAAACAAATGCGTTAATAATATAACATGATATAATGTGGAAGTACCAAAAACTTCATGTCTAACGTCAAATAAACAGATTTCCCACGTAATTGTCGACTGAAACTACGTTCATGACGAGTAGTCGATCCGTTATACACGCATGTAGCATTTTATCACAATATAATTTTCAGGAAGATTAACTTTTTAACGCTATTTCTTCTTATAGTTGATATTTTAAAAGACATAACAACAATGTCGACTTGGAAAATAGCAACAGAAACAAAAAAGCCCCTAGCCCTCCCCCGCTGGGGTCTTGTACACTTTAAGTAAGTAGGAAACCTGAAATACTGAAAGCAAAGCGAATAAGCTCTTCTGCTATAAAGTATCAGCTTTTTCATTGGTATTTGTGTTTTTCCTGTAT